TTTCCCCCCCCCCCCCCCCCCCCCCCCCCCCCCCCCCATTCACCTTCACCACCGCTGCCAGGTACACCAGGCGGCTCAGGTCTTCCACCTCCACCATCCGCGGCTCGGGGCGCTGCACAGCCAGAAGCAGCACGTGGCGAGTGGCCACACGGGGTGCGGCTGCGTTGCTGGACCATGAATGACATGGCGCCGGGCACCGCACGCACAGCCCTGCGCGCACCTGGGGCGTGGCCAGCAGGCCCAGCGCGTCCAGCTCAGCGCACAGCCTGGCCTCCACCTCCGGGTGCTGCGCCACCAGGTACAGCGTCCAGGTCATGGTGTGGGCGGTGGTGTCGGTGCCGGCGACGAAGAAGGTGGCGATCTCGGGGAGCAGGCGGTCGTCTGGGGAAGGGCAAGGGAGGTGGGCAGGCGCTTGAGCGCCCATACCGCAAGTGGTCCAATCCTTGCCCACTGCAGCTGGATGGGCACAGACCGAAAGCGGGACTCACCCGCCAGCGGCTGCCCTGTGTGGGGATCTTTCAAGCGCATCAGGTGGGCGGCAATAGACTCATCCCCGTCTGCAGGCGGGCGGACAGGCAAGCATGGAAGTCAAACACATTGTTTCTGCAACAGGGAGCAACAGGGAGCGACCTGTGCCAAGCGCGGCAGCAGCCCGCCAAGCCCACCCACCTGCAGGTGGCCCTCTCGACCGGATCTCCCTCAGCACGCCCCTCATGTGCTGCTGCAGCGCCCGCCAGTAGCGCATCGCGTGCCGCACCTCCTGCTTTTTGGCACAAGAGCAAGGTTGTGACAAAGCAGGCAGGTAACATGCAGTGGCGTCAGCTCGTGCCAAAGGAGCAGCTCGGGTTGCCGAGCAGCTGCCTGAGCAGGCAGGCCATCCACCCAACACCGGGATGCGCACCGGCAGCCAAAACATGTAGCGCCCCCGAAGCGGGTTGGCCCATCGCGAGTTGAGTTCCTGCAGCAAAATGTCGGCCGCACCGGCAGATTGGCCATAAATGCACATGAGGCTTGCAATTGCAGTGCACCAAGGATTGTACAAGCAGGACCGGGCATCGCACATTCATGCTTTCGCGAATGATGGTGAAAATCTCGTCGTCTTCGGGGTTTGAGGTCGGCTGGCTGTTGGACGCAGCAACATTGAACTCCTGAACGAGCTCAGGGTAGGCTGGGAGGTTGGGCAGGACGGCTTTAATGGGATGAATGACAGGAGTTCGAGCATCCCGCCTGCCTCTAAGCATGCCGCCTGCAACGGGCGCCGGCATGAGTTCCATCCCCTCCTGCCCACGTGCTCCTGTACCACGCACCTGTACCGCCCGGAAATCGATGTCGAACGCCACCCGCCCAATCACATCCAGGGTGGCCCTCATCAGCAGGTGGTCCACATCGAAGGCTGCGCACAACAGCGGCAGGCACGCAGTGGGAGGCACGGATGGCGCAGGCAGCAGCAACTGACTGGCAGCGACCTGCCGCCCACCCCTCCACCTGTGCCGGGCCCGATGCGTTGCAGCTGGTCCAGCAGCTCTCGGCACACGCCCTGGATGTGGCGGAACCCGCTCCTGCGCTGGGAGAGCAGAGCTGGGTGGATGGTGCCTCCCCATCTCCCTCCCCCTTGCCCTTCCACCCCGCTTCTGCACCAGCACAACCACACACACTTGCCGCGGCAACAGCGAGAGATGGGCTGCCCGTGCAGCAGCGCAGCAGCAGCGCAGCAGCCCTGAGCTTGCCTGAGGCAGCGAGTGCTGAACCCCGGGGCCACGCCCTTTCGCACCAGCCTCCAGTGCGGCGAGTGGGTGGAGGCGGTGAACAGCGAGGGAAAGCCCTTGTCCCTGCACGCAGGGGCGCACTAGGCGGGCTCTGCCAGCTAGCGGGGAGGAGCAGCAGGGCGTGAGTTTGGCAGGCACATCTCGGGACAGCTTAGGCCCCTCTTCGCCACTTGGGGGGGGGGGGGGGGGGGGGGGGGGGGGTATGCCTGGGTGCGCACTCACGAGGACATGGGGTCCACCTCTTGATATGTGTTCATGCTTTTGTCCACCTGGAGTGGACACAAGTGTTGGGAGCACCTGGATGCCGGCCAAGAAGTAGAGCTGGGACCCATCTTAAAAAAACCAAGGCCGGCGCATCATCCCTCAACCCACCCTCCCTCCCTCACCCTGGCTCACCCCTAGACTGCGATCGCTGCGCAGCAGCTGATGGATGTAATGCGGATCAGAGATGACCACCATTCGCATCCAGAAGGCACGCAGGGAATACACGGGGGCACACTGGTTGTCCCAGTGCAGCAGCGTACGATGATGCCTGCGGGTTTGAAAGGCGGCATGCCAAAGAGGGGCACTGGGTGCGGCAGCCGCAGGTTGCCAGGGATGAACCTATCAGAAATCAACAGTGCAAGACGACGCCGCACCTGGCATCGCTCATGGCCTTGACGTGCCCGGCCAGGAAGTCGGTGCAGGGCGGCGACGGCAGGCGGCGCACGGCGGCAGTCCAGCGCAGGAAGCCGATCAGCCGACGGATCAGCAGTGCCGCTGCCGCAACGCAGAGGGCAACCAACACCGTGGAGGCCTCCATAACTTTGCAATGGCTGCCCTGGGCAGCGGAGGAGGCTCCCCCTAAGACCCCGCGATAGCGTGAGTGCACAGGGCTGCACACCAACCTCTAAATAAATGCAAAAGGGCACGAGCTCCTGGGTTTTGCGCGCAATTGCCGACGTGGAGGGAAAATAAGTGAGAGCGCTCCCGCCCTCTCTCTGCTATTTGATTGCATCCACCGTGATCCCAGAACTCCATAGACCGATCAGGGGACTGTCGGAGGGACTCCGCCACTCAACCCTGCCACCCTCCGACTCCCGCACTGGAATATAGGGCCTGAAGGTCTGTGAAGATGCATGCGGCGTCCAACCCAGGCCGCCGATGCGTCCTGGGCCTTGTGGGCGGCTGGTCCACCTTCCCACCGCCGCCACCACTGTGCCCACTTCGCCCTGAAGGCCGCCCACATGAGAAAGCCCTCCAGCCTGCATAGCTTCCCTGTGGGAGCTGACATTCTCGACGCGGACGAGGCCAGGGATGAGGTGGACGAGGAGGTGGGGCGCTCCCCGTGCCGGTCTCCCGCATCCCTGCCTGTCCCACCTGCCATCGCTGCCGCCACCCTGCCCTCGCTGCCGCGGGCTCCTGCAGATCCACCGCAACGAGGATGTGTCCATCAAGGTGACCCAGAGCCCCGGCTTTCTGTGCCACATCGAGGCCTCCGCCGCCTTCCGCATGCCGGCACACACCCTGTATCGTCAGGTAATCACTACTAGCACTACTTTACAGCGCAGCAGCACCCGTTTGGTGCCGCTGATGCGTCGTCCCAGCTACATGAAAAAGGGTTTCGGTGTCAGAGGGAGAGGGAAAAAAAGAGTCAGAGGGAGAGGGAAAAAAGAGTAAAATTGCCGCTAGGGCGTCGGTGGCAGGCAGCGGTGGCTGTCCTTGCCTCCTTTGATCGCCCTGTCCCATGCTGTGCGGTGCGGCGCCAGGCGCTGCCAGCTCTGCCGTAGTCCCAGGCTGTGCACGTCCTCGCTGGCTGTCTCAGGTCATAACCCACCCGGAAAACTCAAAAATCTTTCGCCACATGGATCGCTGTTCTTTTCGTCGAGTGCTGCACGACGACGGCCACGGCCGCCGCACGGTCAAGGTGGCGCACGAGGTGGGTGCCCTGTGGAAGGACGTGTGCGGTGCGGCATGTGGGTGGTGGTGGTGTGTGTAGCTCAGGGACAGGGCTCGCTGTGCTGCCTGTGCTGCCTGTCGCCCCTGCCTCTTTCTACCTCGTCCCAGCCGCCGCCCTTGGCCCCCTCACAAGCTCCCACCCCCCTCCCCGCAGGCCTCCTGGCGCTTCCTGTGGCTCAAGGGCACCTTCACCACCAAGCTGGATGTGGAGGAGGACGACAACGCCCTGACCATGGACTTCAGGCTGGACCCCTCGGGGGGCGGCATCATGAAGCGGTTCCACGGGCGCTGGACCATAAGGCCGCACCCCAAGGACCCGCAGCATGCCAGCCTGTCCACGCTGGACCAGGTGGGAGGGAGGGGAAGGGCTGGGGGTGATGGTGGGAGCGGCAGCGTCGGGTGCGGTGTGTGGTGGATGGGAAGAGTGGCATCGCTGGGCGATGCAGGGTGCCCATCGGCCAGCTCTGCAGGCAGGGAGTGTGGGTGGGCGCCAAGCTTCCTTGACAGTGCCCTGCGCGCGGCGCCGCCACCAGCCAGCGTGCTCCACCGCTGCAGGACCTGGCGCTGGGCGTGTACATGCCTCCCCCGCTGTACCGCATCCTCAAGCGCATCTGCTGCAACCAAACGAAGCGTATCTTCGAAGATGTGCAGAAGTGAGTCGGTGCATGTGGCGGCAGACGTGAAGGCCTGCAGCATCTGCGCGGCAACCGTGTTCCAAGTGACGCCCAGCATCCCCCTTGCACCTATACAGGGAGGCAGAGAATATAAACAAGGGCAAGCCCACACTGTGCCCCTGGGAGGAGGTGCGAGACAAGCAGTTTGGGCAGGATGAGGATGAGGCGGGAGCGGCAGCTGTGCAGCCTGCCGCCGCTGAGTCGCGCCTGGTAGCGGCTGCCGAGGAGGCAGGCGCAGAGGAGACTGAGCCAGGCACAGAGGCTGCCAGCCTGGCGCTCGGCAGCCTGGATCTGAAGCAGAGCTAGAATAGAGGCCAGATGTAGCTGTATAGTTTAGTGGATCCATCCATGAGATGCATTGAATCGGGTGGAGTTGAGCCTAGTTCACCGATGCACGCCACCTGTCCGCTCTGGCCTGCAGTCGCAGCCGCGCCCACCTGCGCCCCTCCATTGAGCCTGGAACAGCATGCACCGCAGCTTTTCTGAATTCATCCGCCCTTTCCAATGAGGCCATTGACCTCTTTTCATTTAGCTTGAGCTGCTTCCCTTGCCACGCCGAGCGCTGCTCAGGACGCCTTCCCTGTGATGTACCTTGACTGTACCCTCCATTTTTTCTTCTTTGTCACATGCTTCATCTCCTACTGCTCCCCCAGGAGCCCTGCTCTCCTTGCACAGTGCGCACAGCCTGCTTTGATTTCAGTTTGCACAGGCATTTGATTGAAACACCCGTCGGCGCGTTAAGGAAGTGAAGGGGATCTAGGGAAGACATATGAAATGAAGAGGATATATACTCAGTGCTGGAAATTCAAGATACAAGAGCTTTCAAGCAGAAAGGAAGATAAAGCTAACACCTGCTGGGCTTGCGCACCATCCAGGTCTTGAACGGATTCTGGGCTTCCTGGTAGGCAACAGCCACCGTGAGCCCGTGCTGCACCGCAAAGTCGTGTACCGCGCCCTGCACCGCACCCTCATGCCGAGTGCCATTGGCGCACAAGGCCCAGTCCTCCAGCGGATGCACAGCCCGCATTCCCGCCGCATCTCTGCACGCCAGGGAGGTGTGGCAGTGAGCGACTGCTGGCTGTCGTGCACTGCCAGGACAGGCAGGGGCAGGGGAGGCCAGCAGGCAGGCAGCGCACATGTAGTCGTGGCCCGCCAGGATGCCGCCGGGCTTGACCTTGGGCCACCACGCCACCATGTCCTCCAGGCAGCCGCAGTAGTCGTGACGCGCGTCTGCAGAGCAGCGCAGCGCCACCAGGGTTGTCAGGTAGCAGCAAACGGCCAGCGCAGCAGGACGGGCCGCCGCTCAGGGCCAGAAGCAGGCAGCAGCTGGCAGGCTTCCCCAGCGCTGCGCACCCCCCCCCTGCCTCCCCCCCCCCCCCCATGCTCACCGAAGTACACATA